ATTAGCATCGACCGTGTGAAGCCAGCCTATGTTTGCAATCCTGACCCCATTGAAGCATCGAAGGAACCAACTACAGTCACGTTTCCCAAAGAGAGCCCACTTCAAAGTCAGGATGAGGACAAATCAACAGAGGACGACTCCAATCAATCGCCGAAAACTTCCGGTACTTCAACCAGATCAGGCCGCCGAGTCCGGTTTCCTGACTATTACACTGCCGGTGTCTATTAATGATCGTGTTACACACTCGAAGGGGGGTTATGTAGCGTGATCTACATTTATTTCATCGTCTGAGCTTTGTGGTTGATCCGTCAAGGATGTTTAGTCTACTACATTTTCGTACTACCATTGTATTTCAATACATTTGTTTAGTCTGAACGAAACAGAGTAACCCCTTGTAGTCTGGGTACGAATCCCTTAATTCAAATCATTTGACATATTTATACCTATCCGGCGGTAATAATTGCCGAGACCGTCTGGCCGACGTCTCGCCCTATTCACTATAGCTAATGTACAAACACAAAGACCAGACGATGAAAAATTGGGATATAAAAGGGACACCTCCGGCTCGGGGAGTCAGAACAGTTCGTGAATTCTTCAAGTTCGTTTGGTAAAGAAGCAAGTACAATATTAACGCACACCAAAAAATTGCCAAGGGGGTGCTTGATACTTTTTTTCGACGATGTTTGATAATTAATATCACTTAAACTAAAAGCGATAACTACCAACGAATTGTTGATTATAAAAGATTGGAAAATTCTGTATCCGATAAAAATATAAAAAAATTATATTTCCTACAGTAAAAGGTCGAAAAACGCGACTAAAAGTGCTAAAAAGTGACATTTATCAATTTTAGTCCATTTTATTCAATCGCGAATATCTCGTAAACTAAAAGAGATAAATAAGATCTGATCGCAGCGTCTTAATCTACGGACTATTTTCTATCAGATAGGATAGTTAAAAGGGAAATATGAGAGACAAAATTTTAAGTCTTAAGAAAAAAATTGCCAAGGGGGGGTGCTTGATACTTTTTTTTGACGATTTTTGATAATTAATATCTCTTAAACTAAACGAGATAGCAACCCAAAAATTGTTGATTATGAAAGATTGGAAAATTGTCTATCAGATAAAAATATAAAATAATTATATTTCCTATAGTAAAAGGTCGAAAAACGCGACTAAAAGTGCTAAAAAGTGACATTTATCAATTTTTGTCCATTTTATTCAATCGCGAATATCTCGTAAACTAAAAGAGATAAATAAGATCTGGTCGCAGCGTCTTAATCTACGGACTATTTTCTATCAGATAGGATAGTTAAAAGGGAAATATGAGAGACAAAATTTTAAGTCTTAAGAAAAAAATTGCCAAGGGGGGGTGGTGCTTGATACTTTTTTTCGACGATGTTTGATAATTAATATCACTTAAACTAAAAGCGATAACTACCAACGAATTGTGGATTATAAAAGATTGGAAAATTCTGTATCCGATAAAAATATAAAAAAATTATATTTCCTACAGTAAAAGGTCGAAAAACGCGACTAAAAGTGCTAAAAAGTGACATTTATCAATTTTAGTCCATTTTATTCAATCGCGAATATCTCGTAAACTAAAAGAGATAAATAAGATCTGATCGCAGCGTCTTAATCTACGGACTATTTTCTATCAGATAGAATAGTTAAAAGGGAAATATGAGAGACAAAATTTTAAGTCTTAAGAAAAAAATTGCCAAGGGGGGGTGCTTGATACTTTTTTTCGACGATGTTTGATAATTAATATCACTTAAACTAAAAGCGATAACTACCAACGAATTGTTGATTATAAAAGATTGGAAAATTCTGTATCCGATAAAAATATAAAAAAATTATATTTCCTACAGTAAAAGGTCGAAAAACGCGACTAAAAGTGCTAAAAAGTGACATTTATCAATTTTAGTCCATTTTATTCAATCGCGAATATCTCGTAAACTAAAAGAGATAAATAAGATCTGATCGCAGCGTCTTAATCTACGGACCAATCTCTATCAGATAGAATAGTTAAAAGGGAAATCTGAGAGATGAAATTTTAAGTCTTAAGAAAAAAATTGCCAAGGGGGGGTGCTTGATACTTTTTTTTGACGATTTTTGATAATTAATATCTCTTAAACTAAACGAGATAGCAACCCAAAAATTGTTGATTATGAAAGATTGGAAAATTGTCTATCAGATAAAAATATAAAATAATTATATTTCCTATAGTAAAAGGTCGAAAAACGCGACTAAAAGTGCTAAAAAGTGACATTTATCAATTTTAGTCCATTTTATTCAATCGCGAATATCTCGTAAACTAAAAGAGATAAATAAGATCTGGTCGCAGCGTCTTAATCTACGGACTATTTTCTATCAGATAGGATAGTTAAAAGGGAAATATGAGAGACAAAATTTTAAGTCTTAAGAAAAAAATTGCCAAGGGGGGGTGCTTGATACTTTTTTTCGACGATGTTTGATAATTAATATCACTTAAACTAAAAGCGATAACTACCAACGAATTGTGGATTATAAAAGATTGGAAAATTCTGTATCCGATAAAAATATAAAAAAATTATATTTCCTACAGTAAAAGGTCGAAAAACGCGACTAAAAGTGCTAAAAAGTGACATTTATCAATTTTAGTCCATTTTATTCAATCGCGAATATCTCGTAAACTAAAAGAGATAAATAAGATCTGATCGCAGCGTCTTAATCTACGGACTATTTTCTATCAGATAGAATAGTTAAAAGGGAAATATGAGAGACAAAATTTTAAGTCTTAAGAAAAAAATTGCCAAGGGAGGGTGCTTGATACTTTTTTTTCGACGATTTTTGATAACTAATATCTCTTAAACTAAAAGCGATAGCAACCAACGAATTGCTGATTATGAAAGATTGGAAGATTCTTTATCAGATAAAAATATAAAATAATTATATTTACTACAGTAAAAGTGCTAAAAAGTGACATTTTTCATTTTTTGTCCATTTTATTCAATCGCGAATATCTCGTAAACTAAAAAAGGTAGGCTGGTTAAAGTGAAAATATGAGAGATGAAATTTTAATTTTAAGAAAAAATTTGAAAGAATCATTCAAATCGCGTGAACGGTTCGCGATATACAGCCAAATTTCCACCGAGTGTTTCAAAAATTCATTGAAATCGTAAAAGTTTGAGGACAATTTTAAGACACTTCCGGCGTGATTTCGGGGAGTTACAAGGGCGCATTTTATAAAATGACTCTCGCATTATACAAATTTAAAAAAATCATTCAAATCGCGTGAACGGTTCGGGAGATACAGCCAAATTTCCACCTAGTGTTTCAAAAATTCATTGAAATTGTAAAAGTTTGAAGACGATTTTGAGGCACTTCCGGCGTGATTTCGGGGGGTTACAAGGGCGCATCTCATAAAATGACTCTCGCACTATACAAATTTGGAAAAATCATTCAAATCGCGTGAACAGTTCGCGAGATACAGCCAAATTTCCACCAAGTGTTTCAAAAATTCATTGAAATTGTAAAAGTTTGAGGAAGATTTTGAGGCACTTCCGGAGTGATTTCGGGGGGTTGCCAGAGCGCATCTTATAGAATAGCTCTCTCACTATGCAAATTTGAAAAAATAATTCAAATCGCGTGAACGGTTCGCGAGATACAGCCAAATTTCCACCGAGTGTTTCAAAAATTCTTTAAAATTGTAAAAGTTTGAGGACGATTTTGAGGCACTTCCGGCGTGATTTCGGGGGGTTACAAGGGCGCATCTTATAAAATGACTGTCGCATTATACAAATTTAAAAAAATCATTCAAATCGCGTGAACGGTTTGCGAGATATAGCCAAATTTCCACCGAGTGTTTCAAAAATTCATTAAAATTGTAAAAGTTTGAGGACGATTTTGAGGCACTTCCGGCGTGATTTCGGGGAGTTACAAGGGCGCATTTTATAAAATGACTCTCGCATTATACAAATTTTAAAAAATCATTCAAATCGCGTGAACCGTTCGGGAGATACAGCCAAATTTCCACCGAGTGTCTCAAAAATCCATTGAAATTGTAAAAGTTTGAGGACGATTTTGAGGCACTTCCGGCGTGATTTCGGAGGGTTACGAGGGCGCATCTTATAAAATGGCTCTCGCATTATACAAATTTTAAAAAATCATTCAAATCGCGTGAACGGTTCGCGAGATACAGCCAAATTTCCACCGAGTGTTTCAAAAATTCATTGAAATTGTAAAAGTTTGAGGACGAATTTGAGGCACTTCCGGCGTGATTTCGGGGGGTTGCAAGGGCGCATCTTATAAAATGACTCTCGCACTATGCAAATTTGAAAGAATCATTCAAATCACGTGAACAGTTCGTGGGATACAGGCAAATTTCCACTGAGTGTTTTAAATATTCATTGAAATCGTGAAAGTTTGAGGACGAGTTTAAGGCACTTCCGGCGCGTTTTCCGGAGGTCGCAAGGGCGCATCTTATAAAATAACTCTGGCGTTATCCAAATTTGAAAGAATCATTCAAATCGCGTGAACGGTTCGCGAGATACAGCCAAATTGCCCCGAGTGTTTCGAAAAATCATTGAAATCGTAAAAGATTGAGGACGATTTTAAGGCACATCCGGCGTGATTTCGGGGGGTTGCAAGAGCTCATCTTATAAAATGACTCTCGCACTATGCATATTTGTAAGAATCATTGAAATCGCGTGGACAGAATACAAATCATGAAAAAAACCATAAAATTAATAATAATCAAATTGTATCATATATCCCTTATTTAGGCAAATAGGGAATTTAAATTAAGTTAACACATATTCACATATACCAAAATATGTAGTCTGCAATAACATGCGGCCAGTGCAAGATCTGTACGCCATTAAAAAAACTGTTTGTTTACACAACACTAACATTGATAAACGCGTAGAGACTTACTTACTTTGAAATGTGTACATACCAAAGACATTAAGACATAATTAATCATAGAAATAAATAAATATTAATGCTAAACCTACCTGTGGAACGATGGCGAACTCCAACTCATGTCCCTCGCAGTTTGCAGTACGCACATACCGTAGATGCTGGATAGTAACGATTGAACGAATTCAATTTTCCGGAGACGTAATGCAACGGACCACGAAGCGCGTAAAAATGAAATTGATTTCTTATTAGCAATTTCGATGGAAGATGAACACCAATCAAATATAACCGAGGCTGGCAATAGAAACACGCACCGACTCACCGACGCGATTAATACGACTAAGCACGAGGCTTAATAATCGTTGAATATCGAGCCTGTTTTGAAATTAGTTCAACGGCTCACCGCATTAGACTTTTGGCTCTAGTGACACTGTTACAAAAATAAATAACAATGCTTGATAAAATTTATTAGATAAGTATTGTCAACGCACCTTATATATACGGCCATTCACGTAGGTCACCATAATATTAATCTGATGTTATTCTAGAATAAAAGAAGCATCAAATAAAAGTTTGGAAATTTGGAATAATTTTGTATACGTACAGGGACATCTACTGGAAAGCAAATGAACTGTGTTTACTTCGTTCGTGTAACAACGTGCCCCTTCGTGTTGTTGTGTGCTCTTGACGCATGCGTCGGTACCACACAAGCAAACGACGGTTTGCGCGCCACTTCCTTCCATTACGCGCCACTCATTCCGTTTCCCACTCGCATTAGCCTCGCGCGTCTTTCACCGCTGCCGTCCACAGCAAACACGTGGTAAGTTTTTTGTGCATTACTGCCCTGCATTTGCCACGTTCGCATTTCGCCTGGTGCACGCTTGTGTTGGCGTCTATTTGCAATGCTTTTATCGTGTGACTAGATGGAACACTCGCCTGCAACGGGGCGAAAAAAACGCACCAGCCGCACAACATCCACAGCCATAACCTCACATCTGCTACTGAAGTTCTTGCAAGTTGCGTGTTCCAGAAACCGTCATGCATATTCTTCTTTGGTGATCTAGTTGTATGAGTATTTTGTAATTCATAAAGCTGGTTCAGCAAAGCAGAATGTTTAGTGACAACTCTTCGTGGGACCCACGATCAGTCAGCATCGCCATAATTTCACATTAAAAGCGCTTAATTTTACAATGCTTCACAAAGGGTTTCTGGTTTGAAGGAACTCCTGGTGTGATATGTCGCTTTCTTTCATATCACAGCCAGTAGTTACCTACAAAATGGGCTGCCCTACACATCAAGCTGTAAAATTTGCCGCCAAAATCTTTAACTCTTTTGTAAATTGTATATTCAATCAAAAAAGTTGTTAATTTCACTGCAGTTGACTTGTAGTTGAATTTGGCGGGACTGCAGGGAATAAAATGTCACTATAACTTTTAATTTCAGTGAGTATTGATGCATCTGACACCGACGCAGTCATCAAACAATCACGATCCTCACAGAGACAATCTTGATCAGGTTCTGCATTTGCTGGTGATTTTCCACGCAAATTTTGCTGTGAATGGTTTGTATTAATACCAATTTTATCTTTTATTCGTTGACGGAAAAAACTCAAACAAGCGCATTGTTCGTCATCGTTCTCACCATCACATCGACACACATCCACCCCAATTGTGCGTTCCAGTTCTTCGTCATAATAAAATAACGGTTTTTCTTTGTAGCCCATTAGCTCGTCTAATTCACTGAAGAGCTGCATGACAATCTTACAAGGACAGTTGTTCTGCTCACAAGAACATTTACATTTCACAGGTAAACCGAATTTCGCCTCAGGGTCATTCGCAGCCTCTCTGACAGCTTGATTAATCTCTAATTTTACATCCAACAGCGTGCGGTAGTCCTCCAAGCAAGCGCAGCTTAACTCCACGCATGGACACTGTTCGATTTCATATTCACTCAATTGTTCAAAACTATCTCTAGCATTTTGGATACTTTTCAGAATCTCCGCACATATAGAGCATAAACAGTTCGCTTCGCCACAACTGCAAGTACATATGTCTTTCTTTCTACGCTTGGATTTTCTCACAGGTTGCGGGGAACTTGTTGAGGTAGGATAGGGCAACCATTCACATGGGGGATCGCAAATACAGTCGAAGTACCCCGTCAGATCGGCGCCTTGGAAAGAATCACACGGTAAATATACCGGGAATTTGTGAAATATTTCTTACCTGAGCCAGCCAGGTAGAAATTCGGAGGATTTCGAACAAAACAACAACACTGAACACACAAAAAACTGTTTACCTGCTACTTCCTTTAGTAAATCATCCAGCCCCTTGAAACGTTCTCGTAGGTCCAATACGCTGGCGGTCTCATCGGTCTGCGCCTCATTTTCTATCACAAAACGATTATTTTTTTAGGAAAAAAGTAAGAAATTTTGATTGTTATAATTACCGGTTGTTTCTATCGGGTCAGTTTGGCATTCAACTTCAGCGTAGGTCACTTTATATGGCTCGTAATCGTTTAAAACGTCCAATTGGAAATCGTCTACATCATCATCTTCGTCGTCTTCACTCTTGATTGTATCGAGACGTGATTTTCGTTGTTGTGATGGTGATTTAATTTTCTTTCGTTGTGATTGTTCGTAACATGTTTCGATTTTACAGAGTTCTTTTGGATCAGTAGGAAGATTCTATTTTACAAAAGTTTAAAAACGTAAAAACATAAAAGTTTGTTTTAAAATTAATAAACTTACTGCAACTTTATCAAGATTTTTACTCTTTAACAACTTCAATACTTCCGTCCATGTTAACTCTTCAGTATGTCTACCTTTTTGTTTCGCTTTGCAATCAGTGGGAGCAGTCACCTTGAAACCATGTTTCGGATATAGGTCTTTATGACTTTCGATAAATTTCCAAAAATCGATGCATTGCTGAATTTCGTTCGGGCTGCGTCCTTCATTTGCTTCAAAAGTATAAGTCTAAAGCATATTTCAATCAATAAAATGTTAATAATTCCTAAATACTTATTATTTATACCTTAAACTTTGATTCTCCTGAATGTATAGAGTCTTCTTCGATGTTTACTTGGGCTGTCTCTTCGGAGATCACAGTTTCCTCTTCAACGACTTCTTCGTAAGAAAATGACTCAAATGAGTAATTAGATGACATTGTAACGAATGTATTTGAGGCGTGAATGTCGACAAATGTATTGATATGCTTACATTTTGTTTAGATATAAAAGTAAATAAATAAATATGTATCCTTGGTAGCTAATCTTAAATAAACTATATCGAAAAAAACAAAAACTAATTTCTATCTACTCAATTTCAGCCTCTGATGAAAACATTTCCACGACTTCTGTCACAACCGGGTCTTTGTTTGATTCTACGGAGAGTATTACATGGGCGTTGAAATCGTTGACTTTTTCAGCTAACTTTTTAATTATCTGCCATAAAACAATTGAAAAATTTAATATTTTCTGGATTAAAATTATTCAATACTTACAGATCCAAGTTTTACTTCATCTACCGCATTCCCAGGTGAAAACAACTCCTGAAACTCTTCTGGTTGGACTTCCAGTAGGTCAGTCATCACTTTATTCCCCATTTGTACCTCAATTTCACCAGAATCATCTGCTGCTAGGACTTTCATCGAATAACAATTATCCCTGACTTTCAACTTTTCCAAAATCTGCATTATTTCCATTTTGATTTTGAACATTCCTTTCGTTACTTTTGATTTAATCTCATTTAATTTGGCAATAGTCATGATGGGTCTTTTAATTGGGGTTGTTACAGAAGTTTCAGGTGATGTTATCACTGGAGTATCACTTGATAATGACAAAATTTCTTCTTTTTGTGCTTCAAACATCACATCCATTTCATCATCATCTGGAAAATATGCGTTTTTCTCCTCGACATTTGTTTCTAAGGCATCCAAATGATCATTGAAGAAGTCATCAGTGATAATATCATCAAAATCATTCTGAAATTTGTTATCATTCAGTTGAGTAACATTTCTAGATGTTTCGGCAGTCATTCCAGTTACATTTGTTGCTGTGACTGATGTTCCCTGAGAATCAGGCACTGGTTGAATATAATTGTTATTTATATAACCATCTTTTGGATTATTATTCAATGGTTGCTTCAATGCAGCAGCCAGGATGTTCTCTACACAATTTGTTACTTCTATTTCAGGAATAACACCACCTCGGAGTTCTACCATCTGAGGTTCCATTATAATCTGGCCTCTTCTGATGCAAATCGGTGGTTTGAAACATATTTTTAGTCCTGGTGGTAAGTTCAAGCTCAAACCAGGTATCTTTTTGTATTCCATAGCTGATACTTCTTGTTTTCCATCAGTAAGTTGCAGTTTAAGCATTCCATAGGACTCTTCATCTTCAGTGTGATCATCAAATTTACTTCTGATGCTTTTTAGTTGTAAATATTTCGGTTTTGAAATGTCTACTACATATAATAATTGCAAGTAGATTGTTTCATGTAGTGTAGTTTCAATTACTTCAGAGATATTTGGAGGTAAAATTGCAGGTGTTGGTGCATCTCGAATATCAAGAATTAACCACTCTTGATAGATGATATTAATGGCTTCATCCTGGGAAACATTCGGGAATTCACTGTTCACCCATTCCACGCATTGTTCCAACCAATCGTCGTTTAATTTAATGTATTTCGAAGCAAAACTTGATTTAATTGTAGCTGCATTCCACATTTTTAAGGTTATAATGATGAAACTGCGAATTTCTAAAATATAAGCAATATTTCAATGGGGTTTAGGTCAAATAATAATGTTTTATGAGAAACTATACCTGTATTCTTCACGTATAATACAGAGTTTAAACAATTTTGATAAAATAAGTTGTTCACAAAGTGCGTAAATTCAAAAGCTGTTTACCAGCAACAAAACAGGTGAGAAGTACATGTTAAGTTATACGGATGGCGCTAGTGGTACCAAAACTTGATTTATTTTTTATTGTAGCCAGTAAAGTTTTATAATACGGGACAAAATCAATACCAAACGTAAATAAACTCACATAAATCTTATCGTACTTGTTTGAATTTATCAATTGATAAAATAAAGGTTATAGTTATAAACAACCAAGAAGTACCTTGAAAATCGCACAGATGGCGCTAGCAGTTTCAAAACTGTATTTATTTTTGATTATAATCCGTAAAGTTTTGAACTAGATGGCAGAATCAATACCAAATCCAAATAACTCTTATCACATGTGTGCGAACTTATCAAACGATAAAATAAAGGTTGTTGTTGTAAATATTTACAAAATCAATGCACGGACGTATTAAACCTAAATCGCTGTTGACATTCTTCGCAAATGAAGTCATTTCAATGAAGATTAACTGCTTCACCGCTTGAAACACAAAATGTAAACACTAATTAACTACGCACGTAGATATTATTCGGTTCGGAACGGAGCGTGATAAATTGAGCATCGAGCGTGAAGCCAGGCGCAAAATATTCATATTCTATATAATTTTGCACAATAAGTGCAAGTAAGAACAAAGTAGGTTAATGTGAAGCGGAATTCGATGCGCGCCGAAACCCGCCCGATGTCGTTTTCGTGATATTGGCATATATTTATTAATAATAAGCAACGTATTGAATGTGTCGTCGTTGCGGTAGAAACAAGATACATTCATGTGTATATACACACTTACTACTTGGTGTGCGAAATGTGAAATGTATGCTAATTATAATACATTAGACGAGTGCGCCAATTGACAATTTCTACGGTTGCGATTTGTGTAGGAAGCCAACTCTCGATTGATTTTTTTCCGATTCCGCGAGACGTGATTGTATTACATTAACAAATACCTCGCGGATGGATTGAGGATAGATTCGAATTTAAGTGCGCGCAGTGTCGACATTAATACAAATTTCAGAGGAAAAAGTGTGTGGAAAGTTGTTGTCGGATGTAGGAATACTTTTATTTTTATTTCCAGTTATTTATTTGATAGAAAATTGTTATTTTTTGGTGTTTTTGTGTGTAAAATTTGATTAAATTACAAAATATTGAAGTATGCAACCAATTCTGCATTATTTTTAATTTTTATATATTTACCGTTGCTTAGGCAACCTAACAAACATAAATTACTGTAAAATGTTGGTTAAGATGTAGACTTTACACTTTGTTTTATGCCAATGCAACCAATAATACACTAGTGTATGAAAAGTTGCTGTTGGATATTGTATCACTTTTATTATTGTTTCTGGTTATTTATTTTATTGGAAATTGTAATTTTTGCTGTTTTTGTGTGTAAAATTTGATTATATTATAAAATCTTAAAGTATGCAACCAATTCTGCATTGGTTTTTATTTTTCTATATTTACCGTGACTTAGGCAACCCAACAAACATAAATTACTGTAAAATCTTGGTTAAAATGTAGGTTTTACACTTTGTATTATACAAATGCAACCAATAGTACACTAGTGTATGAAAAGTTGCTGTTGGATATTGTGTTGCTTTTATTATGGTGTCTAGTTATTTATTTTATTGGAAATACTAAATTTTACACGATTTCTGTGTGTTAAATTTGATAATCTTACAAAATATCAAAGTATGCAACCAACTGTGCACTGTTTTCCATGTTTTTGATGTTTACAGTTCTTCTGGTTGCCTACCAAAGATAAATTACTCTAAAATCATTGTAGAAATGTTGACATTACACCATTACACAAATGTTCATCTTGTATCATTATGTAATAAAATTTAACTCACTTTATTATGATTCTCATGAACAAAAACTTTACCTCTAATCGCTTAAACTAACTTCATCGCGTCTGTCTAAAGTTTTGAATTTAATACCACGCAAACTTAGTCTAGATACTCATCAACGTCCAAAATGAAAACAAAAAGAACAAAAAAATGTTAATTGCACCCGCAAACGGCAAAAACATTAAAACAAGTGTAAAAGAGGAATTCTTCATCTGATCCGCATACAGTATACATAATAACACTCATCTATCTCATCCGTGCTAACCGTTTCGCAGTCTTCCAGTTTGCATAGTAGCCGCGTACGCGCAGAAAATCTCAAAAATCCACGCCGCAAATGATGCACGCACGTTTCAAGTGTAGCGGTGCTGAGTGTCTATTTAAATGATAATCAAAAACCAATTAGGCAGACGCACGTAGGTGGAATTGTGTCGAAAAAATCAAAATTCAACATCGTAAACATTTCACGCGCCTATTTTTTGTTTCGGTTTATCTTTGGCTATAACTTTTTATTATGAATTTTCATAGGCTGCGTCAATGTCAATGTAAAAATTTATATTCGTTCGTGATTAGAATGACATGTCATTTATTCACGTATAATTTATATGATAGCGTAGTAAATTGTAAATTGTAAAAAATGATTTGTACATTTCGTAATACACACAGCGGAGTAATATAACTGTTTGGCAGCGCTGTGAAAAGTAATTTGGAATTCAATAAACATTTTGTTGGTTAAATTACTTTCACATTGATGATTCTTTATTACTGATGAGTGATTTACGATTGCCCGAAGATAGTTAAATCAAAATAGAGTCAAAACAATTTGAATTCTACAACCTGCAGCAAGTTGGGTTGCATAACTCTCACATTTAACCTCTTAATGTAAAGTTTAGGTTAATTATGTTAACAAACAGGAAGTTGATCAAGAAATATCGTAAATTGTATTATTTTGTGTTAGATTATTTAAAATAACAATGTGTATTTATGTTTTTATTGCAATAAATCAAAAATATACAAGAAAAATCATTTTGTTGGTTTAATTACTTTCACATTGATGATTCTTTAGGACAAATGAGTAATTTATGATTGCCCGAAGATAGTTAAATCAAAATAGAGTCAAAACAATTTGAATTCTACACCTGTAGCAACTTGGGTTGCATAACTCTCGAATTTAACCTCTAAATCTAAAGTTTTAGTTAATTAATTTTTGCCATAAACATAATCATAATGACTTGACGATGAACTCGTTTGTTAATTGATTCGTCCCATTTTTTGAAGATAAATTCAACATCAATTAACATGTTTATCATAATTATAATTGAATTATTGTGTATCATTTGCATATGAAAGTTGTAAAAATAAAAAAAAATCAACATTTGACCAGCTTAATCCTTGCAAATAATATGATTCAGACAAAAATATAACTATTTGTTTAATGGGCACATAAAAGACAACTTCATGCAATAATTTTATTATTTTTTATTTTTTATTAAAAACATCAAAATGATACTTACAAAAATTGTTATATTTTTATATACAATCAATAGTTGTTTCAGTAGTTCACTCTCAGATTATTTCACGCAAAGAGATGTGATGTTAAACAAAGAATTCAAAATATCCTTCGCAGGATCTCAACATTTAGAAGAATTGGAATTAAAAGCAAATGAAGTGTTAATGAAACACAAAAACGCTGAATTATCATCTGGATATCATCATCCTGGATATTATCCTACATTACAAAACATCCCAAACTTCATAAAACAAGTACAAACGTCAAAAATCTTCAAAATATTGAAAGCGATGCCAAAAGCCGGATTATTACACATTCACGACACTGGAATGACATCTGGCGACTATATTTTCAACCTAACATATCGCAAAAATTTGTATATTTGTTGCCATGCGGGTGGAAAAGTCTCTTTAAGGTTTTTCAATCACCCAGACACAAGTTGCAACTGGAAATTAGTAAAAGACAAACGTGCAGATCCATTTTTCGACGCGCATCTACGCGAAAAATTAACCTCACTTAAAAGAATCCCAGCGAGAGATTCGCATGATTTCGGTGAGATGGCGTTGGAACTCTTTGACCTGGTTTATGATTTAGTAAGTTACAAACCCATATTTGAAGATTATGTTTATGAAATGTTGCTTGAGCATTACATGGATGGAATACGTTATGTTGAAGTCCGCGCAGCTTGTGAATGTTTATACGACGCTGATGGTAATATTTATGATTATGATCATATTGTACAAATTTATTTAAAAGTCTTAGAGGAGTTTAAAAATGATTTTCCTGATTTTTATTCTCTAAGAATTATTTATTCTGTTGATCGTCGTGTTTCCAATGAAGAATTAGAAGAGCGTTTAGTGATTTACGAGAATTTGAAACAAAAATACGGCTATTTCATCGCTGGACTCGATCTGTTAGGACGAGAGGATGAAGGAAGGACCCTCAAAGAGTTTGTTCCACTGCTCTGGCCACTAAAGGAATCCGCAAGTATTCAATTCTTCCTCCACGCTGGCGCAACTAATTGGTACGGTGGTCCATCCGATGAGAATATCGTCGACGCGCTGATGCTCGGCAGTAAACGCCTCGGACATGCGACCGCGTTGTCCAAGCACCCGAAATTGATGCAGATGGCCAAACAGAAGGATATTGCGATTGAAGTAGCGCCGCTGAGCGAACACATCGTCGGACGGTCGGTGGATGCACGTGCACATCCGGCGGCTGTGATGGCAGCACTCGGCGTCAACTTTGTCATCTGCAACGACATGCCGGGGTTGTGGGGCGTTGAGGCGGTGAGCTACGATTGGTATTTGGCTTTTATGGGGTTTGCGAGCGCGAGGGATGATCTGCGGTATTTGAAAAAGCTCGCGTTGAACTCGATTGAATATTCGGCGTTGGATAAGCAGGAGAAGGGCGAATTGAGGGAAATTTGGACCAGGGAATGGATTTATTTTATTCATAGATTGGCGAATGGGGAACTCATCTAGGTATATCGTAAATTATATCATTTTATATTTGGTTATTGGAGATTTTGGAGGGGAAATGTGTATTTATGTTTTATACTGTAATAAATGAAAATTAAGAATGAAAAAAACGTTTTTTTTTGTTAAATTATTTTTAGATTAATGATTTTTCATTACCGTTGAGTTATTTTTGATTGTCTGATGTTAATTAAATTAAAATTAAGTCAAAATAATTTGAATTTTACACTTGCAGCAATCTTGGTTGCATAACTTTTAAACATTTAACCTCTAAATGTACTATTTTGTTTATTTTGATTGGCAAATGAAGAATTGATATAGAAATAACCTAAATTATATCATTTTGTATTAGGTTATTGGAGATTTTGGAGGGAAAATGTGTAATTATGTTTTGACGTCATAACGTCTTTAAAATCGTTTTAGTCGGGTGACATGTTCAGAAACTTGTCACGAGGCCTCTCGAGGTCGATGGCTATAACGAGAGAGAGACGGACCGATCTCCCGTCTCATCTCGAGCGCTGCCAGTCATTCCGTGAAACTTGTCACGCGGAATCCACACGAGCGGAGGCAGGCATAGCGAACGAGTGAGTTGACCGATCTTCCGTCTCTCTCACTCTAGCGGCATACAAACGAATGGAGATTTTCTCGTGCGGTTAAGTTTTCGTTGAATGTTTAACAGTAAAACAAAATGTGAAGTGCAAGTGAAGTGTTACAACAATTGCAACAAACAAAACTTATATCACCAATAAGACGTTATCACGTAAACATTTCGATCGTAAACCTACTTTACAAACAACCATTTTTTTTACTGTAATAAATGAAAAATAAAGAAGAAAAATGATTTTTTGGTTTAATTATTTTTAGATTCATAATTTTTTATTACTGATGAGTGATTTACAATTGTCTGAAGATAATTAAATCTAAATAGAGTCAAAACTATTTAAATTTTGCACTTGTAGTAATCTTGGTTGCATAACTCTGACATTTAACCTCTAAATATACAATTTTGTTTATTTTGATTGGTAAATGAAGAATTGATGTAGAAATAACCTAAATTATATAATTTTGTATTAAATTATATAAAATAAAACCGCATATATACGTTTTTTACAGTAATAAACGAAAAATAACCAAAAGACGAGACTAATGGAGACATCAATGACATAATTATATTGACGAGCAAAAAATAGAATCTAGAACACAATTTAAACAAAAATGTGAAGTTTACTTATAAAAGAATGCGGAATTTCAGAAAATAATTAACCAATTATTCCAAAAATACAAGCATTTTAAGTTAAATTATAGTTCTAACATCAATAGCTTTAAACCTGATGTAGCTGTATATATGGTTGCCGCCCTAAACACAAACGCAACTCATCTTACATCTTTTTTCTGTGTATCGCACGTCAAAAATGATTTTGTTGATTATTTTGTACAAAACGATGTTTATAATTAAACTTGATAATTATAGACTACAATCTTAAAACTCTAAAATGCTATATAATTATATTGAATGTCTTTATAAGAATTATTGCTCAAAAGAAATTGTTTAAATCTATACAAACATATTTAATTGCGATGTTATGTTCTGGTTGACGCTTTTATTAAATCCCCAGCTCCTTTTAACTCCTTTGATTTTTGAAATGGCGGCCGACATCAATTAAGCGCACACCTCGTCGATTACCTACCTGCTTACCTGCTCACCTGCTGATTCTTTCTGCGGAGCCTAATTTATGTGTGTTTATGCTAAAAGAGAGCCGCGCTCTGTCGCTTACATGTCTCACGTGAATAAATTACGCTTTATTAATATAATATCACATTACAAGCGAACAACTAAATCAACTCACTAATTTTTGCATTTATCTATAATTTACATTATTATAATCACGTTGTGCGTGCAATTTCGGCGAGAAATTGAAAATGTGACCTGGATTTCATGCTCGACGAAATTTTGACTGACAATTTGTTGGAATTAAAATTAAAAATTCACTAAAAGTGAAAACTGAGACAATTTAGTCATTTTTAGGTCACTAAATCATAACCTCTTTAAATGCATGTCATAAGCACGCAACCCACTATACTTTTTGTTTGTTTTTTGTTGTCATAGCGACAGAGTGGATGCAAAAGTAAACACTAGATGATATCTATACTTATGAGAGAAAATATATGCCTGCAGGCGTGTTCCAGCATCAATAAAATTCTGGTTAGATGCGTGTAATGTATAATTAGATCAAATATCAGATGCTGTTGTGGTCGGGCTGGTTGGTGGTCGTTTTCTTCGCCATTTCTTACCGAAGCATCTCATTAGCATTCCGTATATAATTATCAAGATGTGCGTACGGATGGAATTTTTGTATTGTGCTCGTAAAAACACATTCTAATTGGTTATACATTAACTCATTCGAGTATGATTTTATCAATAATTGGATTGGGATTTAGTAAGTCATGCGCATCGATTTCTATATTTATGGTAATTTTATGAAGGTTGAGGAATTTATTGCTTTTAACCCTGTTTTGCTTTAATTTAAATGTATTTTATTAATTATTATGTTTTTTTCAAAATTAGAATCGCGTTTGTCGTTCTTGAGTTGTATATATTTTTCTTTAATATTTAACGCTTGAATATCTTTTAAAGTTTTTGGAATTTTTTAAAGATTTAAAGTTTATTAGGTAGCTAAAGGTTTTAAGTCTTTATTGTATAGATGGCGTTAGTATACTCTTTATAACCTCAAAATTACAAGCATTTAAAACTGTATAGACTTCTAGTTGAATAAATTTTTCTTTTATAGTTTACACATGAATAACTTTTAAAGTGTTTGGAATTTTAAAAAGATTTAAACTTCATTTTGTAGCTAAAACTTTAAAGTTTCTATTATGTAAATGACATTATGATAACATTCATAACCTCAAAGATACAGTTCATTCAAAATGAACAAATATTATATTGAATTTCTTCTATATTTTTTGATTTTTACTTATAGGTGGCGCTGATGTGACTTTTCTAACCTCAATGTTTACTTTTGACATAATTACTGCTTTTTATTTTGACCCAATTTAATTACACGCCAATTATTTAGCAAGTAAGCACGAAAAAACGATTTTAATTAAATGTATTAGTCCCAATATTCTGCCAAACGCCGAAATATTCAACACATCCACGAAACGAAGTGAACGGCGTGTAACCGTGACCATACATCAAACGCACACACACACACATTGATTAAAGTGCCGCACTCGACAAGCGAGACTTGGAAGACTTAATTAATTAGTCAATTTGCGTGTATGCCTACAAGCAATAAGCCATTCGTTGCAATTATAAATTTATTTATACGATATTTGAATATATTTATACATTCCGTAGAAAGTGCGTGCAAATTTTAATTTTTTAATTTTTCCTGCGCATGCGCAAATAAAAACATTACCAATCCACTGTTTTACTATTTTTTTGGCTTTATTGAACATTTTTGTTAGATAATTTTATTCATACATAATATTTCTCATCCATAAATTATTTAATAAAATATTTGCTTGGTTGTCCACGGTTGGAATGTGGTTTTTCGTGTGTAGTCCCGTTGATAAGCAGCAAACTTTGGTCAAGACACATCGAATGTGGTCGCCAATCCGAGTTTCGGCGAGTTTTCGCCGAAAGTTTACCAAAAACTTCTCGGCAGCGCTCGCAGCAAATCGAACAAAATCCGTATCATCACCGCAGAATTACGCACACAGATTCGACGCACACCGAAAATGCGTTACGAAGAAACCATTCTTCGATGAGTAGTGGTTTATGCATGGATTACTCCGCGGCTGCGCTTCTTTCGGTGTTTTGACTGCGTCACGATTATTAAGAAAGACCTTTAGGACAATCGGTGCGCATGCCGACGGCGCAAAAAAGAACTAGTTTATTGTGTGACGCGGCACATGCGCCGCAAGAAAATCAATCAAGTTAACTTAAGGCGAGTGTGATTTATTTGTGGCTTAAAATAGTCTCATGCACGTGTATAAATAAATTTTCAACGCGTTACACACTGAAACAGTAAAACATATTTTAAGTTAAGATATCAAACATGCACAATGACCAGATTACGTCAATCATAATATAGGTTAGGTAATTTTTATATTCTCCTTACACCACTATTTAAAACAAACGAATCGCACAATCGGTTATGGTTTAAATAAATAAAAGTAAAAAATCATAAAAAAACAAAATAAAAAAATTAATATTTGTTCATTTTTAAAGAGCTGTAGCTTTGAGGTTATAAGTTATACAATGTAGATATATATACAATAAAAACTTTAAGTATTCAGCTATAAAACAACGTTTCAATTTTTTAAGAATTAAAAATACTTCAAAAGATATTCAAGGGTAAATAAAAAGAAATATTTGTTCAGCTAGAAATCAAGACAAATTTTGAATGCTTGTAATTTTTAGGTTATAATAGTTACAATAACGCCATCTATACAATTAAAACTCTAAATCATTATCTACAAAACAAAGTTTAAATCTTTTAAAAATTGAAAACACTTTAAAAGTTATTCTAGTATAAAATATAAAAGAAAATTGTGTACAATTAAAAATCTAGTCTATTTTTGAATGCTAGTAATTTTGAGGTTATGAATGCTTCAATAACGCCATCTATACAATTAAAACTCTAAACCATTATCTACAAAATAAAGTTTAAATCTTTTAAAAATTTTAAACACTTCAAAAGATATTCAAGTGTAAATAAAAAGATAAATTTGTTCACCTAGAAATCTAGACAATTTTTGAATGCTTGTAATTTTGAGGTTATGAATGTTACAATAACGCCATCTATACAATTAAAATTCTAAATCTTCATCTCCAAAACAAAGCTTAAATCTTTTAAAAATTCCATATACTTCAAAAGTTATTCAAGTGTAAAACATAAAAGAAAAATTTATCAATAGAATTTTTGAATGCTTGTAACTTTGAGGTTATAAAAGTTATAGAAATAGTATGAATAGAATTAATATTTACATGTAAGCAAATGATTATAACTTCCTTGTTCCTTCTAACATGACACCAATCAACGTGAAATTTCACGACAATGATGGATCATTTGATTAAAAGATAGTCCCAACGAAAACTTTCAATAAAAACCAATATTACGCCAACTTATTCAAAGAGAAACCCAAAGATGATTGTGTATGTATTTTTTGCGTATCGCATTAGCTGCTCAGCGGTCAGCTAATTACAGATTAAAAACGATAATCAACTCCTAAATGTTTGCCGAAAAACTCGTCCGCGTTCACATAATTATAATCCTCATGCACTCGACTTGACTTTCTTTTGCAGTTTCGGGGCGAAAATTAAAAGTAATTAGTCACGTGCGCACACACACGCGTTCAATAAGCGTATAATTTATAATAATTTCAATGTGTCTCAAGATTTTGTTAATGATTCCCGACTCTAGATGTGGTTTAACGCGCTGTTTAGCAACTAATCGCTTTGCATTCATATCCGCGTTTGAAATTAAATTTTTCCTACAAAAACATAAAAAATACAAATTAAAAACTAACAAAATCATGTTAAATGTAATTATTCAATGCTTACGAGGTTTTCGACACAAATTAAAGTCAAATTACCGGCTAAAACGATAAAATATTAAATTATCTCACACGATTACTCATTTCGGTGTTGCGCGTTGCCAGGAAAGTCATAAATCAGTGGAATGGATTAGAACCAGAGAGACCCGAGATTCTAATTTGAAATCTTGTATGCCTGGGCGTAGAGAACACTAGTTTAATCGGTGTTTGGAGGATGGACCACTCTAACAGCTCGGTGTGTAAAATAAGTCATAAAAGAAGTTGGTGTAAGATCATAAAAACACGCATTTAAAATATGGAATGTAAATAGTATAAAATCTTTATCTTTATTGTTCGTTTGGGTGAAATTTAGGTTAGAAGTTTATATATGGATAGTTTTTATTGCAATATTATGTTTTGTGCATTTGGTTGCCTATATTTTTGAAGCAGATGTCAATAATATTTAACATAACCTTATTTTTATTTTATTTTTATATATTTATTGATATTTTGGCAGTATTTAATGGATTATGCTTTGAAACAGTCATTTATCATGCTTAAAATGTTTTTTTGTTTTTTGTTTCTTGGTTCTAAGGAAAATATTTCAATAAAACACTCGTTGATTATATTTAAAATGAAGAAAACTGTAATTTCAGATTACTGCGTTTAAAAGTGACAACAACGCCATCTACACGATCAAAAATATAATTATTTTAAGTTTTTAGGTTATATTTATGACAACAGCGCCACCTATATCACAAAAACTGCAAAATATTGACTATTAATGTAATTCTCTGTTCATATGATGAAAATATGCACAAAACTATTTCTTTTCCTATAAATAAACAATATTTGATGTTTATTGACTAAATTACGAGTATATTTTGAAGCATCCATCATTTATCATGCTCAAAATAGCTTTTTGCTCTCCAACAAAACAACAAAAGTGGCGTCTGTCCGCTACCGACGCAGATATAATTATTCCAAACATCCGTTCCGAGCACTCCGGAATTATTCGGGCACAGTGTATCATTATAAACAGTCAAAAGGAAGAAACCGTCGAGAAATCGCCATTTGAGTACTTACTTTCCGACGATTTGGTTTGTTTTGTCTCAAGTGAGACTGTACACACATATTAATTTGTGTTTGTACCTGTATGTCAGTAATGCCAAATATGCGAGTTATTTCACGCCCGCAGACCTCGTTTGAAACATTTGAAACATTCGAAACTTCAATTAGAGCCGAACTAAGCTGCGAACGCTCAGAGCTAAATACATAAGTATATTTATTGCTTTAGTTTCGAGTGAAATTAATTATTTATTAACAATTTGTGTGTAATTTAATTTAATTTAAAACAATTACACTTAAAAATGTAATTAGAACACTTTAGAGGATAAAAAAATAAAATAAAAAGGTTATGTATTGGATGTAATGACATAAGCAGTGTAATATTGGTTGCCTATATACTTTATAGATTTATGAACATCTAATTTGCATTTAAAACATTCTCATTATGATAACAAGCTGTAATAAATAACAAATAACAAGTAAAATGACTTATTACATCAACAAGCACGTTGTAGATGGGTTCATTTGCAATTTGAACTTGTGACCGATTTTTCAATCATAATTAAACATTTCGTAGGCTCCCCGAAAAAAAAAATTAATCACGCCTCGTAAAACATGTTGACACTTCTTCTCTATTCTTCATCTCCTCGTATTGCAACAAGTATCGCCGCATAAATTAATTTGAATTTAAAAAATTGTTGTCGCTTGATTAAAACGTGCAGATCGATGACACGCCGAAATTATCCGCACAGCGTGCGCCAAAAGCATAGAGAGACATTAAACGATTAAACGATGGATGAGTATAAGGTGGCTAATTAACGCGCGAGTTGAAAGACAAAATACTCGTACGCGCGTGCGTTTTACATTTTACGACTTTACGCCGGCTTCCTTCTTTTCGTGCGGCGTGCTGCGCTGGTTGTGGATTGACTGCGTGTTTGGGAATGCGTGTTTTTCATGTTTGTTTTCATTCCTCAAGGCTTTAATTAACGTATAAATAGATTTAGAAGATATAACATTAAAAAATATCTCAATTATCTTGTTAGATGATGTTTTAAAAAGCGGAAGAATTAATGTGTATTATTAAAATTATTAAAACACTCGGTGGTTGAGTTTAAATGGAAGAAAAATGTAAATTTATAATTGTTGAATATTTTTAGGTTAAAAAGTGATATTAACGCCATCTAGACATTTAAAATATAAGCATTATAAGTTTTTAGGTTATAATTTGGATAACAGCGCCACCTATGTTACAAAAACCACAATAATATGAAATTTTTATGTTATATTACTTAATTATTATGTTATAATACAATTTTAACAATAAATATATTATCAAAACACTCGTTTTTTAGATTTTAAAAGAAGAAAACTGTAATTTCTTATTTTTTGAATACTTTTAAGTTAAAAAATGACAACAACGCCATCTACACATATAAAAACCCAAATATTACAAGTTTTGAGGTTATAATTATAACATTAGCGCCACCTATGTTACAAAAACCACAAGAATATGAAGTTTTTACGCAATTTTTCTTTATTATTATGTTATAATACAATTTTAATAGTAAATATATTTTCAAAACACTCGTTTTTTTTTAAATTTAAAAGAAGAAAACTGTAATTCCTTGTTTTTAATACTTTTAGGATAAAATTGACAACAACGCCATCTACACGAATAAAAACTCAAATATTACAAGTTTTGAGGTTATATTTACGACTACACCGCCACCTACATCACAAAAACCACAAATATATAGGATATTAAACTACTTCTTCTTTCTTCCAATAAAAAACGGACAAAACTATTTACTTTCCTATAAATAAATAAATAAATAATAATATTACAAGAAGTAGAAATGCTCTCTCCGTATGAAAGTGTAAATGATCTGAAAGTTAAAATACCAACAACCCGCCACCTGAAAAAGTACATTTCTCGCCTTCCTCATTACCTTGTGTCTACAACTCTAGAATTACCATATCTTTATTTTAATATTAATTAATGCTTAACATACTTTAGCAAATCAACTGCACGTCCACGTATTATAATAAGTAAAATGATTGTATCGGATTGTGGGTTATATCGATCAATTTCCATAGACACAAACACGACAGTCGCACGTCGCAACTCTTCAATCTTCCTCGGCGACGTCTCGATCTCGCTAATTAACAACTTTCTCATCTCATTGAGACATTTATGCAAATTACAATAGAAACCATCTCATTCTCGAAAAGAAATATACTTGGATATTAACATAAGTATAGAAGTATCAATAAAACGTAAAACACGTCCGAAATTAATTATACAAATTAAATCAATATTTTGCATGCCACGAATTTCCAACGTATTTCTCAAGTGGATCATTTGATTTGATTGTTTTGCGAGTTGCAGATCAACCAATGCCTCACAAAACGTGAGTGATGTGTGTGATGAGTATCTTCTTGACGTTCAACAATCCCCACTTGCAGTGGAAGACTCCGAAGAGTGTTAGAAGGCGTCATTAGAACGGCGTCCATCTCCTTCCTCATGATATGCTTGTAGGCGTGGCATTCTACTTCCGTTTGCTTTTTTCGCGCATCGACGGATCACCGAAATACTCCTACTACCCCAGATAACGTCCGAGTATAAATTCTCAAGGACTCTTCGTTAAGGTCACAGTCAACAATCCACTTTACAACACATTACACGTCTTCATAGATCAAGATATCATCAAAAAATGCATAATAAAATGTTCGCAATCGGTTGCAGTCTGTTAGTGTTTGTGATTATCTCCGTGAATGGCCAAGATGATTACCTGCAGGATGCGGCGCAAAGTTGTCATCGGGATCGAGATATGATCTCCTGCGGGAAGTATAATTTGCTGCGATTCCTGGATACGGCTGGGAGTGCGACGGTTCTGGAGACGAATACCAGCTATCCGGTGCAGTTAGTGAAAATTCACGATCCGGATGAAAGCGGGAGCTTCTTCAATGAGGGACGTGCCTTGGCCAATGAAGGAGAGTTTGGGAAAATGTTGCAGTTTTTGCAGAAACGTGCAGATCGGTTTTTGAGGACCCAGGGGATCACTGTACCGCTACCGGATGGTTTTAGGGTTATTGATGATGACGACAACAACGTCGAGGGTATGAAATTTTTAAATTTTATTTAAAAAATTAAAAAATTAAAAAATTAAAAAAAAAATAATCGAAAATAAAATTATTGGGTTGTTTTCAGGGTGGCCTGGGCTTTTCGCAAAAAGTAATTCACGCTTTTAACAATCACGCTTATTGCAATCATCAAAACGCATTCGTTCAATATTAAATCACAATATGCTTGTGTACAAATCTGCCACCAGACTGAGTTTCGAACAAAAGCACACGTGATATTTCTGTACGCATTGATTTTGTAAATTGCCGCGTTTGCAACCAACGTGACACGCTACAGCGGTCGCAAACAAATTGGACTAATTATTACGAAATGTTTGTCGGTTTGGCGGTGATTTATTCACATCACACATACTATTGCGGTGTCAACAATACATTTATATCGAAATCTAGAAATTAATCATCGTAAAAGTGTTTGTTTTTGGTTGTATCATTCACGTACAGTTAGGCAACACAAAAACATCTTGGTCAAGTGCTACACACATAAAAATTATAAAAACAATCTTCCGGTTGGAATAATAACATTGAAATTGTTTTTTGTGGCGTCTGACGGCGTATAAAATTCATAACAAGTTACATCTGAGGTTAGATCATTTATTTGACACTGTAGCGAATTAGATTTTATACGGTAACAGCAGATGGCGATAAAATGACAAATTTATTCGTGCACAACAAGTTGCATGCATTGCAATGGAAGTTAATCATCCGTCAGAGCGTCACTTGAGTTTGTTGGTTAAGTTTAAGCTTGCGTAAAGTTTGTTTGTCAATCAATCAATCATTTAATCAATCAGTAAGTTGCGCACAGTTCCACTTCTCTTAATATTTGTTTAATTACTCATAAACTATTACAGTTAAATTAATTTATAGTTAATAACTAATCTGTGTTATTTTAAAGTAAAAAAATTAATTTTTTGTGTTTAATTATGTCTAAAATCTAGTTTATTGCTCTAGAAATTTTTTTGAAAGCTCTAAAGCTTTTTTCGTCACGCATAAATTGATGATCGATGCCAAATATTTAAAGTCTGTTTAATTACTACATTTAAATTTTTAAGACACGAATCTAGTAATAGTCCTAGTTTTTTTTACGAGCTTACAAGCTTAGTGAAAGAATTGAGCGATGTCTTTCGGTCGATAATTAGCATAATAACAAGGCGTGTGCCGGTCATCCGACGCTGCGTAAATTTCACGCAATATCGAAAAAAGCGATCAGCCGCGTGTCCGTTGGAGCGTGGATATTAATTATAACGGAACGCGCACACCGCAAACGCGAACACGTTCGATTATTATAATGTGCCACTGTTTTTATCCACTCTACATTTTTCACCCGCTAGATGTCAGCACACACAAACACGCGTAAATGATTCGCTAAACGCGTGTATTTAGCGTTATTAAATTAAAACTCGCAATTCGCGTGCGTATAATACACTTCATTTACATTTAATCACCTCAAATTATTTTAATTCGCCGTGCATTTCAATCAATTAGTTAAATTGAATTTTAAACTATATGCAACACGTTTTACAGGAATATATTATGTGTGTTGTATAGGTTGAAGTATTTTTTGTGATAAATTTGATAAATCCGCGTAATATTCCCGGATGTCATCACGCAAAATCGATGCGACTCGTGCGGTGAAACTCCCCGGAGGGTTTCGAGGACGTTGCTGCAGGAATTAGACGCCTGCTCGCAGGATTAATGCGATTGGACGCGTCCTTGCGATAATAATATCTCGCATAATATCGAAATCGGTGGGATTCTTATTTTGTGACAATTGAATCACGCCGCGAAGAAAACGGAAACGAAATCTCTACGCACGAAGATGCCAATCAAAAACGCATCAACCGCAGAGTAGTAATTACATTCGTCCGACGGCCGCTTAAACACGTTATTAATGTAATTATAAACTAGTTTTTTGGACATTCCATGGCGCTCGGTAAAATGTGATCTAGTTCATTTTTTATTCACCGCGACTACTGACCCACAATTCGGTAGTCTTGATCGTCAAGATCGAAGAGATGTAAAATCGGTCAGATGCCTTCAAAATGGAAGGCTCATTTTTTATCTCGTGTCATTAATATGATGCAAATTAGGCGGTTTTATTTGGAACGTCCAAGAAGACGAGTACGAACATAATCAATCATCTATCAAGCAGTCTTGACCGCTTGAATAAATGACTAATGATCATTTAGCGTTTTGGTATTTTACGTTTACAAACAAACAATGCCGGATTAAATGGATGAGATAAAGCAAAGGTAACTGAATACGTGTCGTTTCATCATATTTCCATTGTGACAACTGTTAACTGTTATGTGTAATGTAACATTTAAGTTTTTAACCTTAATTTTGGTGCAGGAAACTGTATTCGTTCAGAGTTTATAAAGACTAGTTCACATCATCAGTAAACACTATATGCAACCAGTTATACATGAATGTATTAAATGTTGTTTTATTCTGTTTTGTGGTTAGAAGCTCGTGGACGTGTCGGACCTAAAAAGCGTGGATTGATCTCCCTGCTCACCCTCTTCGGAGTATTCAAAGTGAAAGTACTGTTGGCCTTGGCGCTGCTCGGCATCTTCTTCATCAAAAAGATCTTCCTCATTGGCGCGCTCGTCCTACCCAGTATTCTACACAATCTGAAGGCGAAGTGTGCGCATGTGCTGCCACCACACCACATCGGCCACAGCGGTCATGGTGAGGAATATCATGACGATTACTATGGTAACTACGGACATAGTGGGTATAATAAGGAATGGGAGCGAAGATATAGAGTGGCCGCTGCTGCGCAAGCAGGTGCTCAAGGTGCTTTGAAAACAGTAACTATGTAAAAAGAAGTTGAAGCGGTTGAAATGATTGTGCAATCATACAATAATGATTGAACAGCAAAAACTAGTCGGGATATAATTGAATTATGCTTCTTTTTGACATGGTCACGTTTTAGTTTAGTTAGATCCGCATTAGCGCGCAATAAAACACACAAAATGGAAATTAAAAATTTGGAAAAGCTTTTTGCTTACAACACACATATTTGCATGCTGCGCAGCTTTATTGACAATCACATACGTCCGTCGAATATTTTACACTCACTCACACTTCGTAGTAGATGTAATTGTGGTGCGTGTTTAAAGTCTCTTTTGCTCAAGTGGATTTTTCTGATTCTGTTATAGGTGCTTGATCGCGTGTGCAAAACGTGCTCAATAGTCGCTACAAGAAGGACATTATGTTAAAGTTGAATGCGGTGTTTTGTTTTTTCATGTTTACTGTTTACTGTGTAAAATGGGCGAGGACAAAGAATGATTGCCACAAACTCGCACATTTTCGACCTTCTTGAGGTATTCTCTAGGTGTACAAACAGATCTTCTGGATTACAAAAAGTGTTTATAATAATATTCGATTGTTATTTGAAAAGAGAGAAAGAGGACAATTGACAACGCAGTGACGGAAATGTTTATTTATTTTTGTTTATGTTTATGTTATTGCGTGTGTAAGTTATTTATTTATTTATTGCCGTTTATTGTTTGAAATTTAACTGTATTGAAAATGGAAATACATTTTTGTAATTAACGCAATTATTTGTGTGTTTTATTATTTATTTTTCATTTTAATATTTATGAAATGTTTTTGTTTGAGTTACATAAATTTCATCCCTCATTTTAGCCCTTTTAAATTTATATTTTTGAAATAAAAAATAGTCTATGTTATTTTCCATATTTTAATTTATTTATATCCAAAATTTCATCAAAATTTCTTGAGTAGTTTATGCGTGAAAGCGGTACAAACATATTCACACCCTTTAGAATCTTTAATTTTAATATTTATTAGCGTTCTAAGAGTTTTAATGCTGAAATTTTGATGTTTATAAGTAAATAATGTCAAAAATGTGTTTTTCTTTTAATTTTACTTTTCCAGCCCTTATTTCACCCTTTTTAAACAATATTTTTACAATAAAAAGTAGCTTATGTTATTCTCCATACTCAAATCTATCTTTCTACAAAAAATAATAAAAATTCTTCAAGTAGTTTAGGTGTGAAAGAGTAACAAACATATTCAAAACTTTTTGTGGTCATAATATTATACAATTTTTACTGCTCTGAGGATGATAATCCTGAAATTTTAGTGTTTATTCATTGTGTGAAAAGTGTCGCGCTTTGAGGTTTAATTAAATTTTTAATAATTCAATTTGGTGGTATTAATTAACGCGGCGGACTCATTAAAACTTGGAAATTAATTTTGACACTCGACACAATGTAATCTTAATGTGGCACTCCAAGCAGGATTTATCTCATATTGTAAGCGTTTTCCATTCATTCATTCTTCGCCACTTTATTGTGCAACACAATATTTATTATTAAATACATAAAATATAAATATAAATATAAATAACAAAATACCACATTATATTGAGGTGGCTAATTTTAATAAAATTAAAATTTACTGAAAACGTGGTTTTCATGCTTATGAAAGTAATGTTTATGAAAATTATTTTAATACCGCGTATATTTTGTTCTTTATCAACATTATTAAATTATATACGAGTAGGAGGACATAAAGAAGTAGTACTGGTTCACAGGGAGATTATTTACTTGATATAATTTCGTATAATTTAATGTTATAATTTAATTCGCGGAAAATAATATGATTTTAAGTTTTATACTGGATAATTATCAAAATTTTGACGTGGAATGACGTGGAGTGAAATATTTTGAGGAAAATTGATTTACGCACACGTCCCTCAAACGCATCGCATAATTTTAGAATTAACATTAATTTTCATTCATTTACGTCACAATCTACATCATAATAATTATCTAGTAGCATTTTCAGGTTTAATGCGTTTATATTTCAGCGTCATCTATTCTTAAAAGTAGAAACCTAACTAATCTAACCTAAAATTGGACAATTTGTCATTTTAACCTATTTTTAACATGAATTTACATGTAAAACGTCAAATTTTTAGGTCATTGTAGCGCCATCTTACTTTAAACGTGCTAACCTAATTAATATAACCTAAAATCAGAGTTTTCATCATTCTAACCTAATTTTATCACTAGTAATGCGTACACCAAGCTTAAATCGTCAAATTTGAAGAAATTTATGTCAAACTAGCTTTAACCCTTGGCTTCGCTCGCGAATATCTAAAATAATGAAGTTGCTTCCGTACGCGTCTGTAGTCACAGAAGAAGTAACAATGAAGTAGAATGGCAGGAAGTTTAAAATGGCTGAAAGTATCGTCTTTGGAAGTATAGTGTACAGTCTCCATAGTGTAGTCAATTGGATTTCATGTTGACGTAGCTGTCGGTAATACAGTGTGATAATACAGTGTGATGGTTCTATAGTACTTAGGATTGAGCTTCATTGCTGGAATGCTAGATGGCGTTAAAGTAGTCAAATAGCCAGATGCAGAGGTATTATTGGCTAAACTATTTCTTTATTTTATTTAAAAAATAATATTTTTTTATTAAATAAAAAGTAGCCTATAACCATTCGGGGACCACTAAGAATATGTGTACAAATTTTCATAATGATCGGTTAAGTAGTTTTGGCGTGAAAGTGTAACAAACATCAGGACTTTTGCATTTATAATATAAGTAGGGATTTAAGCCAAAATAATTATTTAATTGCATTTTTAGGTTACATGCATTTATACACTAGCTCCCTCTATGTTTATACGTACGAACATAACTAATCAAACCTAAAATTGAACAATTCATCACTTTAACCTAATTTCAACACTAGTAAAACACACCACAAGTACCACAAGTACTAATCCTTGCGTCACACATTATTCCACGTGTGAATTCCAAGTGCTTAATCCACTTCATTCCGCTTTATGAACTAAAATGATTGTAAATACACAAACGCGCACTCTAATGTCGCAAGTCGTTAACACGTATTAACGTACAATGTACTCGCAACATGTAGCAAGGATAATACGCGAAATGTGCAAACAGTTGAAAACTTTCATTTGAGTACGCATGCGCCGTGTTATTACAAGCGCAGCCAGTGCTCGTCATGTCATCATTTATACAAGATACAGTTTCAACTAGTTTCAACAAGTTTTCCATTCATGAACTATAACTAGAGTGTTCTAAAATTAAAAGTCTTGATTTACCTAAAGCTGCTAAGGTGAGTTCACTTGTGAATAGTCTATAATTATTTATACATTCTACGCGTGCGCGCTTAGTGGTTGAAAGTACCTACGCGTACGTTGGGAAGTATAAGAAGCGCACGAATGTGATTACTGATCACAGATTGCTGATATTTATGTAGTTATACACTTATAGACGAAAGTTGGTAGTGCGCAAAGTGTGCAAAGTTGTAATTTCAGAGAGGCTTGCATTGCATTATCGGTGCACGCGCTTGTAATTTATACTTTTGGTCCTTTTGCCTGCGCAGACCGACAGCGTATTAACCTAAGTCAACCTGCAAACTACTCACAACTAGGTGGAGTTTAAGCTCAACTGTTTTCAGTCCTAGATATCTAATGTAAATTTGTTTAGTTTATGTAAATTAAAGTGCAATTATTGCTTGCAGTAGTTCGATATTTATTTTCTCATATATAAGTAACATACTGGTAATCACATTCATGTGAATAAAGTTGCCTATACTTTTACTCCACGTAATTTTTGTTATTTTGAGGTTATTTTTATTTTAAAGTGAATTTTATGGTGAAAAACGTTAAATTAAACTATTTTAAATCGTGTCTGGTATTGAAATTGTAAATTTCTTTAGTTATTGTTAATTAAAATGCAATTATATATATAAGCAACATACTGGTGATCATATTCATGTGATAAAAGTTGCCTATACTTTAATTTTTGTTATTTTGACGTTTTTTCCATTTTAAAATAGATTTTATGATGAAAAACGTTAAATTAAAGTATTTTCAATCATATCTAAGATTGAAAATTGTAAATTTACTTAGTTTATGTGAATTAAAATGCAATTATTGCCTTAAATAGATATTTATTCTCAAAATGCAACCAACACACAACTTTAGTGTGATAAAAGTTGCCTATATTCTTCCCCAACGCAATTCTTATATTAACTGAATTGTGTGGTGAAAAGCGTCGCGACGTCTTGATGGATTAGTTTACTTTCGCAGTTTCCAGAAGAAAATGTTGCCGTTTTAAACTTCCGGTTAATTTAACACTTTGAAACAAAAAAAAATTGAAATTTCACCAAATTCCTAAAAATCAGATTAATCCACAGTTTTATAGGACAACGATTATGATTAAGTGAATGTCAAAACTCTTAATACTTAAGACTTAATACCCACTGATTCAGCAATTTGGTGAAAGTAATGTGTTACGATTTTTAACTTTAGCGTGTTTTAACGGTAACCGACGACCGAATTAATTTACGAGAACGAGTTTCAATTTTTCACATTCATGTCAAGCGTTAGACGCGCGGTTTATCTATTGATTTTTAATTTGATTTGCGTGTTTAGGCTGTATTTTGTTTGTTGGTATTAATTAAAGTTTAAGTATTGGGGTCATATTTATAAAGACATGTTTTCTGGAATATTTTGTTTGTCACACACCAAACACCTTACTAAATCAACACAAGGGGAGAAAAGTGGTAAAATTAATCAGTAAACATTGACCAGACATGCTTTTATTTTAGGGTAAGAACTTTTTTTTTCATTTTTCTGAGTATTTTTTGTATTAATTTAATAAAAAATATTTTTTTTCGGTCAAAAAATTAGAAAAAGTAAATATTTAATGTCTAGGCAATTAGAAAAATATTAAAAGATAAATAATATAAATATTATTATTAGATTGATGATTTATAGATGATTTTCTCAAAAAAAAAACATTTTTAGGAGAATTTTTCATTTCAATCAAAGAAAAAATAATAATTTTGTTAAAAAACAAGAAAAATAATTATTTAATGCCTAGGTAGGTTTAAAAAATAATACAAGTTTTGAAAAAAATAATTAATTTTTGTTTAAATGTAAGAAAAAAATTTTTTAGTTAAAAAAAAAAATATGTAAATTTATTGCCCAAAAATACAAAAATATATTAAAATTAACTTTGTTCCGATATGTTTATCAATTTTATAAGAAAATATTTCCTTTATATTTCCCTAATTTTTGGAAAAAACAAGGGTTGCAAGAGGGCGTGCGTAATGACAAAGTGGGGATGCGTCTGGAATAGCGTCGCTTATAAATGTAGCCGACGTATAACAGCGCCGCAGTTTCCCGACGCCGGGCGTCCCGAAAATACTCCTCGTGGTTTTCCGCACATTTTCCAACTTGAATAACGCGTGTGTGTGCCGTCGCGCGGTCGCAAACACAAAAAACCGACTGGGTGCAAGTTAAAGTTTGACTTTGATTTGGATATCGCCATCCACAACTTTAAACAACCTTAAAAAACTTCTCAACATGATTTTTTAAGGTAAAATATCATTAACACAAAAAACTTTGACGTAAAAAATAAATTTTACTTATTCTATATACAGAATAGGCGTTTATTTTCGTATAAATGCAAATTGCCAAAAACTTTTTTCTTTTTCTAATTTTAAGTAGGTTACAAAAAAGTCTGAAAATACCTGTTTGGACCACGCACAATTCACAATTCCTAAAAAACTTTTCCACTTAATACTTCCTTAAACAAATTTTAATCACTTCCGTACACTTAAAATTAAAATTGCATGAAATTTAAATTTAATGAATTGTGCAAACAGATTGTGCTTGTCTTTTAATTTGTCGCTTCGCGTGCATAGCGAAACAATTCGTAATTGTAACAATATGCCTTCCCGTACACGTCGGCATGAGATTAAAGCTTGCGTGTGTAATTATTTACATATTTATGCGTTTATTTTTTATTTGCGCCCAAACAGCGCTATTTATTTGCTGGAAGAGTTTTTTTTTCGCGCGCGCTCCTTTCGTTTGTTTATCGTTTATGATAATTTACGAGCTTGGAAAATTGAAACTCGCCGAGTTTACTTTTAATTGCGTTCGAAAAAATAAATCGAGTCGGTAGTTTTTTTAATTAGATGTGGTGTTAACACTTTTTTCTCGTCCGAAGCTCGTAAAATCCCGTGAAATATTGAAAACTTGTTGAGTTTGTCTGCGAGTAATAAATTTTGACGTAAATCAAAGTTTATAAACTTTTTTTCATCAATTCAAAGAGTTGTAGGCAACTTTTTTTACTTACACAAATAATATTAGTGTTTTTTTAGTGTTACGTTGGTTGTCTAGGGTGAAAAACATAAGAAATCAAGTTAAAAGTATTAATTCAACATTAACTCGACCCAGGCTGATAAAATTAACGCACAAAGCGGAAATTCGTTGCAATGTTGTAATAATTCATTTATTACAACACGAATTTGCATCTTTTTACGCATTTGCGCCGCGAGTCCTTAGAGACGGCGCACGAATGACGTCGGCAGTGAATAAATAATGTCTTTTTATACAATTACGAGCAACTCGACGGCCATTTCGCAGCGCCCGCGACAATATGAAAACATTACTTCATTTGAAAGTGTAATGAGATAACATTAACCGATTAATTACGCCCGAATGCGGCGACAAAGCACAAAAAGCGCGCCGAAATCGTGACGCACAACGTAAATAACATTAAAAATAAAACGAACATTACAAAACGATAAGCATCCATTCCATTAGTTTGTGTTATTTCAATTTCCAGCTATGATATGTGTCGAACACTCAATTTACTTCATTTTATGAGTAAAAATATAAAAATTAATACAAAAAACATAAAATAAATTCCCTGCTTAGTTTTACGAGGATTTTGATGATAAAAATTAAATTAAATTAAAAAATAATTCTCGAAGCGTTAAGAGCATTAGAGCACGATGGGTGCAATTGGTTCCTGCAGGACGATGCGTCCTATAAACACGGTTGACAGTGTGCTTTTAGCAGCAGTGTCGGAACGCGTAATAAAACGCTGTTTTACGAGCACAACGCGAAAACCGTTTTATTGCGGTGGAAACGTACACTTTTCTATATTAGGCAACCCGTTGTACAATATACATACGTGTATTGTCATTTGGGTTGCCTATATATGTGTTTATTGTGAAGATCGAGATTAGCTCAATAGAATTCGCATTCCTGAAGCTCGAACTCTAATTGAATAAGGCAATTTAATTAATTTCATGATTTCGCATTGGAAAAGGGTTTGTGGCTTTGAGCAGCCGTCCGCACTGCTTCGTTATGTCATTAAACGATTTAATATTGTTTAATTGTCTCACTGGCTGCGAATTATTAATCGCGATAGTGTTTATTTAACATAAATCGTATAATATAATTACTAAATTATCGATTTGTGTTGGATAAGTTGTTATTGTGTTTCGACATGTTCATTATCGAATTGTAGGCAGACTTTACGTAACTGGAAACTTTTCAGCGCGTTTCTCAAATTGCAATTCGCACAAATAGATTGTTATTCCAGTTATCTGCTGATGTATATTTAATATACGTTTAACGAAATTGTTCATCAGTTGTGAGCGGGATTTTAAATTGTTTCACATTTCTTGTTTTCATTTCGTGCGCCGAGTGCATTCGCGTGTTCTCAGCAAAAAGAAATTAAATCTCCGAGTACTGCGCTGTGTTTTTCTTTTTATAATGCAACTCAGTGAAAATGCACGCCGGACGTTTAATTCCCTTCGAGACAACTAAAACGAAATTATATTTCATTTAATAAATGTATTAAATTCGCGCAGATGTAATTTTCGCTATCGCACGAGTTAATTTTACGTTATGCTATTTATAATGCTTGTATATTGCAGTGTTGGTTGCCTATATTAATTGCGTTAATCTCTGTATGCATGCAAATGAAAAAGATGTTTTTTGAACGCGTGGAGAGAAAAAAAAAACACTCGATAATCCCGGCTGATGAACAGTGCGCATCCTATTACAATGTTTTTGTTTACGCATTCGACGTTTTGACGTCGACGATTTTTTTAGGCGACTGAACTCGGCGCGCCCGGCGAAAAACCTTGAAAATTCGTCTGAGTTAACTCGACTCCCCCGCCGAACTCGCACAAAGCAGAAAAGGGCCACGCGCTTTGTGGATGGCGTTTTGGCGTTGCTCAACTTTCCATTTGTTTGTTCGCCGAAAGATAAATCGACGCACTGCGAACAATTTAGTATTCAGAATGGAATGCTCAGTATGGTAATTTCACATCCGGGGACGTATTGTCTGCTAATATGCTAAATTCTAACCTCCAATCATCTTAGTAGTTTTAGTTACAATTGCTAATGCCTAGTGATAAGATCCCCATTGGTGTGGTGGTGAAATTGCGAGGCGTCTAATCGAAACCCGATGATTCGATTGCATTCACCGCAATCAGCAAATGCAATGGAAATCGAAATGTACGCCAAGTGAAGCACCGTTTAATTCTCCGATTAAATTGAGTATCACACGTACGCGTACTATTTGTTAACATGATTATTTACAAAACTTGTTACGGAAAACATGAATTTACGGCCTGCAGAGCAGAAACACGAGTTTAAAATTTATAGAATTTCTTACTTTTACTTTATGCAACCAAGTATACACGAACATAGAATATATAGAATATAAAAAGTTTATTATACGGAAATAAAACTTTTTAAGCAATTTTACGAGTACTACCGAATTCTTATGACATTCTTCTTATTACGTTATTTATCATCGCGACACAAAAAAGCAAATGCTAATAAAATTGCCGTGATGCGATCCATAAGTTGAAAGAATTTTTAATACGCTCAACTTTTATGATTCTTTATTCGCAAACTATGATAATTCTACGCGAGGAGGAAGTTTCAGGATGTATTAAGAATAACAACAAAAGCCTGGATTTCAACAGACACACTAGGGACGCACTATTGGGGCGCTACGACGTTATTTACGATTGTGCCGAATTCAATTCGGTCTATTGCGTCAATTTTTACAAACAAACAAGGCGCGCGCTCGGGGAAACATCGCCGGATGGCAAAATAAGGTAGTTTCAGCTATGATTTAATGTACTTCCCGGGCAATAATGCTCGTATCTGAATGAGAAATGGGCGAATAGTTTTTATTTCGTTTTGATGGCACAGATAGCGGCGATTTTGTTTATTATGACTTTTGTATTACAAAATAAACAAAAATATTAATACCACAAGTATAATATCTAAGTATTCTATTGTATTCAGTATGTTACAATAGTAAAAGCTTTTTTCCTTTGTTACATCACGTCAAGTGTCGAGATAATCTTTACAACAAAGAAAACGCAAAAAATCTGTTTTTTAGAGTTTTGTATCACTTAAATGTTTTAGATCCACTCTTATCTCTCTTTTTCTGACACAATAAGTACCTAGTTTTATCTCTTTAGTTGTTTGTCATCCAGACTTTGTTATAAAGTCAATTTTTATGTTATTTTTTTTCAGCAGTTACAAAGAACTTCATAGACTTGGAAAAAAATCAATATTTTTTGCCACAGTGTCAGAAGATTCTTTTATCCAAGTTTAAGGGTGTCCACATTGTTAAAGAACAACTTTCTAAAGGTTCTAAAAGAATAAGGAACACTATAGTGTCATGCATAATAGAATAATACAAAATGCCCGGCGCCTCCACTATATTCTGCCCCTTATTATAAGTAAACTTTTTTGATTTTTATGTTTCTGCAGTTTTTAATAAAGTTTTAATGCAAATACAAAGATGAAAGCTAATAAAACTTCATTGCGATATTGAAATGGTCGCCAAGGCGTTGATATCTATACATTCACCGGAATGGCGAAAGTGCGCAACATGAGCGTCAACAACGTTTACGCCGCCCTTAAATCTCAATAACGAACAATATTGAATGAACTCAGCCATCAGACGCGTAAAGCACGGAATGCGTTCGTTCGGCATGCAAAACTCTGCGTCATCCTGCCGTAAAAAGGACTTTGAGTGGCTATTCACAATGCACAAAGATGGACGAACATTCAATATTGAATATTCAATTGAATATTTTTCGTTGGAAATAAGATTTCGCTTTGATTTCAGCATTTCAAGCGTTCTTTTCACTGATGTAGATAAAATAGTTGTTACTTACGTTTTATTGAAATATGCAAAGCGTGAATTTGTTGGAGATTATAAAGGATTAATGTGTTGGTGTGTTTTTTGGGTTGCAGACGTTGCGGTGGTGGTGATTATCGCACGCGGGCGTTTTATTGATGTCGATAAAACATGGATGTCGAAGAAATGAACGCGACGGAGATGAACCGCATGTCGGAGAATATGAATCGCACGATAAGCAAATTCGGCGATTTGTTGGAGAGATATTTGCGTAATCGTGGTGTTGATCAGCCGGCCTATGGTATTCTTATTGCTTTGTATACGGTTATCATCGTTGTCGGTGCTATGGGTAATGCACTTGTTGTAAGTAAAAATAATATGTTTGTTACTCTTTCACGCCTAAACCGCTTAATGAATTTTGATGAAATTTGGGGTAAAATATAGTTTTGAATGTGGAAAATAACATAGACTACTTTTTGTTGCAAAAATAAATCTTAAAAAGGGCGAAATTGAGGTTAAAAGTTTGTATTCAACAAAAATTATAGTTTTAGTTGTATAATTCACACTGAGATGGCGCTGTTAATAATATCTTCTAAGAAATAAATTCCCCAGACATAGAAAAACTCTCATTGTCATTGTTTCTTTGATAAAATAAAAACAAACTCAATATACGACCACTTCTTCGATTACGAGTACAACACAACACCTATATCGAATTACTAATGAATATCGGATAAATATTAGCACTCCTTCCACAGCTTGTTCATTATTACACGAATGCAACATGAATTGCACTCGTCTTGCAATTTACGACGCCGCGCACGCTATAAATAAACGAGACGAACACGTTGAAGCTTTGTCTAGAACGTAATCTAAATCTAACTTAGCGTGACAAGACGTTCAACGTCGTAATGGAATAATCTCGGCTGGAATTTTTCAATTTTACAACAAATTTACTCACAGCGAACGCGAATTTTTACCGCAAAATTTTCATGAAGAAAAATTGTCTTCCTGGAAGCGCTCGAGAGGACAAACAAAGCATGCATGAATAAAATGAATAAAATATTTAAACAAACATTCGTGCCGCTCCACATACTCCGGGCAAACTGAGAAATTCAGGATTTATAGAGATTTATCACAACATTTATCATGTTGTTTGTGTCATGCTTCTTTTATTTTATTTAGTTCTTTCGAAAGCATGCAGAATATCTACTTAAATAAGATTTATCGTATTATGTGCCCGGCGCATTCACCATTTTCGTTTAATTTGATAAATGTCGCTAATGCGCGTTTAAATTCAATTCCAATTAAGATCTAAAGTAAATATTTACATCCTGATGTTTGTCGAAAGAATTCCTAGTGAAGCAGTTCCTGGATTTGGCGCAAAGCATATTCAATTCGTTGTACATCCTCAATAAACAAACTTTCGACTTGGACTTTTCCTTTTCCGGGCAGAGCTGGAAGCGGATCCGCCATTAATACCAAAGTATCTTGTTACATACGCTGACGATTGGAAGTTTTTCGGTCTTTGATCTGTGCTTCTATAGATTTCCATGCATTAGGGAGCTTTTGAGCTTAGAAACAGAAATAGGTTTAATTTTAGACCAATGTCTTTACTGTATTCTATTAAATTTAGTTTTATTCATTAAATTTTCATTTATTTTTGTGTTTTTTGTCATTTTTGAGTGTTTTAAGTAGGTTTGTTTTGATTACGATAGATGGCGTTACTTGTTAAATGTCAAAACCTGTTTTCAGACATAATTCGAATTCTATTTTACTTTTATTTATTAAAATTTGATTTATTTTTAAGTTTTTTGCCATTATTATGTTTTTTAAATAGGTTTAAGTAGGAATACAATAGATGGCGTTACTTGCTAACTGTCAAACGCGTTTTCAGGCAAAATTTGTGATTTAATTTAGTTTTATTCATTAAAATTTAATATATTTTCTTAAATTTTGCTGTTATTTTGTTTTTTAGCTACATTTGATTAAATTACAATAGATGACGTTACTTGCAAAATGTCAAATCGTGTTTCCAAGCATAATTCGACTTCTAACAAGAATTCCAAACTGTAATTTCGTATTTTATGAATTTATTTTGGTTGCTAGCCACCAAAAAGTTAACGCGCTGCATAAAATTACACGCAAGCGCAAATTCCATTTTAATTTGTGTAAACATGCGGAATATTCCGCGTTTTACTGTTACGAGTTAACGTTAAAGTTGGAACTTTTGTATGTGTATAATATTTTATGTATGAATGGCCATAGTCTGTGGCCCGGTGCTGCCGCATTCTAAAAAAATTGGCCCTCCAGGAAAATCCATTGGCCAGCCTTGTTCTAAACTGATTCGCGCACAAAACGTAATTTGATAAATATCAAAAATTTACTTTAGATGCTGCTCATATTAATCTTGTTATGATGAAACATCAAAAGATTAAATTTCCATGTCAGACCCTTTGATATCTTTATATGATAATTGTTTTATGAGATAATAATCGATGTTTTATTGATAATATAATAAAATAATATCTTTTTATTTCCCGTATGTCTATTTTATTGCGTCAGGATCAAAGTGTTAGTTTTATATTTATTGAAATAGGCATAAAATGAGGATATAGTTAAAAACAGCGCCATCTATAAAAGAAAAGTCAAAATAAATATGTATTGCGTATGTTATAAAGTAGAAAAGATGAAAAGGACCTTTTTGTATGATTCTGTGACGTTTGTCGTATTAAATCAAATTAGTCCGGCCATACGTGCTAGCCATTTTTCTATTCATGCGATGTCCTCGATGCCAAACCCACGTCTGGCTATGTTTATTGACTACGTTTATTTGACATGCTCAATTTTACAAATGAAAGAGCAACCACGCATAAAACTCATATTTTCACAATATAGGAACTTCAATAATTAGTAAAAGTCAAATATTTCAAACATAAATTGTTTTTTTTTTATTTTTGTAAAAGTGTGGTGAAATTTTGAGTTTTACCTGCTACCGAGGAAAGTTTTGTACATTTCTACTTCTATTTTTGCTATGCTTTGTGTTCCGTTTGTGTAGATTTTGTCAGTGGTGCGAAAACCAGCGATGCGCACACCGCGCAATATGTTTATTGTGAATCTGGCAATCTCCGACATGTTGCTGTGCACATTCACGATGCCGCTCACGCTCATGGAGATCCTCACCGTATACTTCCCGCTCGGCAATAGTGAGCTACTGTGTAAGCTAGTTGGCACTATGCAGGCAACCAGCACGTTCGTTTCTACTATTTCCATTGTTGCCATCGCATTGGATAGATATCAGGTAAGCGGAAACTGTAAATTATAAGCAGTAGCATTACAGTTTTCTACATATTTTTTACATCAACAACTGGTATGAGTACTAACAAGCCTGTTACTTGAGTAAACGTGATCATTGAAAATATTGCTTTTCAAGTTGTAGTTTCAGCGGTGGATATTTTATATAAGAAAATGCACATTATGCACGTGTCGAACGGGAACGTGCCCAGCTTTCATATTCATATTCAATTTAAATAAATGATTAAGTTTCAGTCAGTAGCGTAACTATTTGTAAGTATAAGTTACGCCCCTGGAGCGACATTTTTTGATTGCGATTATCTCGTAAACTAAAAGAGATAAACAGGAACGAATCGCAGGGGTTAATCTACGGACTAGTCTCAATAAGATAGGCTAGTTAAAATGAAAATCTATGAGATGAAATTTTAATTCTTAAGAAAAAATTGCCAAGGGGGGGTGCTTGATACTTTTTTTCAACGATTTTTGATAATTAATATCTCTTAAACTAAAAGCGATAGCAACCAACGAATTGCTGCTTCTTAAAGATTAGAAAATTCTCTATCAGATAAAAATATAAAATAATTATATTTCTAAGATTAAAAGGTCAAAAAACGCGACTAAAAGTGCTAAAAAGTGATATTTTGCAATTTTTGACTATTTTTTTCAATCGCGAATATTTCGTAAACTAAAAGAGATAAATAAGATCTGATCGCTGCGTATTAATCTAAGAACTATTCTCTATAAGATAGGCTAGTTAAAACGGAAATCTGAGAGACGAAATTTTCATTCTTAAGAAAAAATTGCCAAGGGTAATTAATATCTCATAAACAGAAAGCGATAGCAACCAACGAATTGCTGATTCTGAAAAATTGGAAAATTCTCTATATGACAAAAATATAAAATAAATATATTTCTAAGAGTAAAAGGTCAGAAAACGCGATTAAAAGTGCTATAAAGTGACATTTTGCTACTTTTGCCCATTTTTTTCAATTGCGAATATCTCGTCAATTAAAAGAGATATTGAGGCACAAATCGCAGGGCTTAATCTACGGACTAGTCTCTATAAGATAGGATAGTTAAAACGGAAATCTAAGATATGAAATTTTAATTGCTTAATAATTTATTGTGAGGATTTTTGATAATTAATATCTCTTAAATTAAAAGCGGTAGCAACCAACGAATTGTTGATTATGAAAGATTGGAAAATTCTCTATCAGATAAAAATATAAATTTATTAAGTATCATTGGTTAAAAGGGCGAAAAATTTGATTAAGGGTGCAAAATATTCTCTATAAGATAAAATATTAATCGCCAAATAAAAGGGTCGAAAATCATTCATAAGCAAGAATGCAAAGATTGGCTATTAATTAAACATTGATTGTATAAATGCCTGATAAAAACAGCACGAACTATTCTTATTCAAAAATACAATTACATGTGTATTAATTCTTCCAGTAATAGCGCAAATAAACATCATAATGCAAGTCAAAAAGAGATGCATATAACCGCATGATTTTATTTGTTTACATTTCAAGTGTAGCTGAATGTTCACTCACTGATACAAGTGCACCAGGTATGAACACACAAACACTTCACCTACGGGTAGTTTCTAAATAAATCCGAGATGGCACAACAATGCACTTTTAACTAAAAATATTCAATTGTTTACAACAACACAAAGTGGCGTGATCTCACGCGGCCACGAGGTTTTTATCTTTTATCTCAACGCACAGCTATTTTTTGTTACTGTTTACATCGAAGCAATCTCAGCTATTGCTTGTACGAGTATACAAACACAGTTTAAAAATATTGGTATACCTACTTATAAATAATTTAAAATTCATGAAATGTAATAAACGTTCTTTTTATTTCACAGTTTTTCTTATTTGTTTATTACAATATTATAAAATAATTAAATACCCTAAGGTAAAAGAGACAATTTTTAAATTTTTACGTTTTTTATTAATTGCAAATATCTCGTAAACTAAAGAAAAAGAAAGGAACTAATCGCAGAGTCATAATCTACGGACTTTTCTCTATCAAATAAGCTAGTTAAATTAGAAATCTAAGAGGTAACATTTTAATTCATAAGAAAAATAAGCAAGGATTGCTTGATAATTATTTTGGACCTTTTGATACTGAATATCTGCTAAACTAAAAGCACTAGAATCCAACATTAAAATTTAAATGGAAGGCAATTTTCCGTGCACAAAGATTGTAACAGAATAAAAAACAAAATGCGTCTTATATTTCAGGTTATAATTTACCCAACAAGAGAAAATCTGCAACTAGTAGGTGCAGCGATTATCCTCTGCGTAATCTGGACTCTTGCTGTTTTGCTTTCATTACCGCTTTTCATCTACAAGAAAATCACCTCCCACCACTTCAATTTCAACGACACCAACGTTGTGATGAATTACTGCTACGAAAATTGGCCGCCATATTTAGATCGCTACGTCTATTCAATATTCTCCTTCATTTTCCAATATTCCTTGCCGATCATCATCGTTTCGGTAAGTACCCATCACAAATCCACCAAAACCACTTTATATAACCTCAAATTTATATTTTTCTATTCCCAGGCTGCTTATATCAGAATCCTCTATAAACTCCGTCATCGTTTTGCTGCTGGTTTCGTCGCCCACGACGATTACAAAAACTCCCGCCAACAAGTCCGCAGTCGTCGTCTCCAACGCACCAACATGCTCCTAGTTTCCATCTCAGTGATTTTCTTCACCAGTTGGATGCCCTTGAACCTCTTCAACCTCATCGCAGACACCTTAGACATCGACTTCACCACCCAATCGATGAAAATCGTTTACGCAGTCTGCCACATGATGGGCATGTCTTCCGCCTGCTGGAACCCCGTCCTCTACGGCTGGCTCAACGACAACTTCTGGAAAGAATTCCAAGACATCATGTGCATCAAATCAAACAGCAGTAACACCCGCGCCAGGGACCTGGATGACAAACGTGGATCTTCAAACCGGAAGACGACTGGTAAGGAGCAGTACCGAAGACCGGATCTAGTGGCTGATTTTAATCCTGGTACCACAGGAAGCACCGAGATGTCGCTGCTGACTAAATGCTAGCTCAAGGCCCGGTCCACTGCAACCAGTCAGGTGAGTGGACTCGCAAATCTATAACTTTTCTGCACAAAAATCAAATTTCAACTACGTTGGGTGATAAAAACAAACAAAAAACAAAACACAGAGAAATACACTTGTGCTATTAAAAGTATTCAATATTTTAAAAGAAGTGAAAAAGAAAACGAACCATAATATAGTTATAGTGATATTTAAACAAATTCAGTGGTACCAATATTTGTAATTTTTGTATTTCAACAAAGAAAACGTGATAATTGATGTAAATAATTGACCAGCAACGGTTTTAATCCAAAATTATAAATATTATTTGTTTTATTGATCTGGAGACAAAAGAAAGTAGCGCCACCTAGCGGGGAATAGTGTAGAGTTTTTTAGTATTGATTTTTTGTTAAATTTACATTGTTTACAGTTTAAAATATTTCAAAAAGCAAAATTTGTACGAATTTATTAATAATTGTTTATTTTATTGATGAAAAAGTGGCGCCATCTAACGGCGAATAGTCTACAATTTTTGTCTATTAATTTTTCGTTATATTTGCTTTGTTTTAAGTCAAAAATATTACAACAAATAATTTTGACACAAATTTTCCAATATTATTTGTTTTATTGATGATTAAAGTGGCGCCACCTATCGGTGGATAGCCTATAATTTTTCTGTATTGATTTTTCGCTAATTGTGCTTTGTTTGAAGTTGGAAATTTTACAACAAACGAAATTGATACCAATCAACTCTCGGCGGCAGAAGGCACTTAGCGCCCCAAAGGCACTCAAGGACAGAGCCATTAAGCGCGGTGCGACTGCCGCAGCCACCGCAAATTAGTCTATTCCACGCGCTGATCAATTAAAACTTTCGCATTATTACGACCCCGCCATTGCGTTTTATTGACGCGCGCGCGACGCGCACGAGCAGCAGCAATCGGTTGAACAAATAATATATTTATTGGGAAAACTGGCGCGCGGCCATAATGCCGACGAGTCCACGGCAATTATGGCGCGTGTCGAGATTTCGCCTGGATTAAAGCCGTTGAGGTCGTGCGCCCCGTTATTTAATGCCATGTTGTCGACTCGCGGATTATCGAAATTCACAAGATGGCGGGCGGAATGTGAGTGTGGTACGATCACAACGATTAAATTTAATATGCGACTATGCGAATATTGTAATTTGTAATATGTAAATAGACAGCACATGTATACTTGTCGTTCGTCACACATGTGTAATGTTAATGTGAAATATTTGGCAGGCTGCGGAATGTGATGATGGGAGAATATTATTATTGGGTATTTGTATACACATCCTTTACATTTATTATAGATATATATATTACATATTAAAATTTGTAGCGATTATCAAATAAATGTTTGTATAATATTTAGTACATGAAAAATTTATTTATTTTGGGATAGAGGGCGCTGGAGAGTAGTGGGGTAACACCCAGCGCCCTCTGGTTGTCAGCAAATCAACGCAATATAACCTAAACTTTAAAAAATAAGTTTTTAGTGAATAACTTAAGAACGATTCAACGGATTTTTAAAATTTTTAGTTTTTTAGTTTTATCTACTCTTTGAGAAGCCGAATATTTAAAAAAATATTCAATATTATTAAAAATATAAAAGTTACAATAAAAAATATAATTTTCTTTAAAATCTGAAGAAAATTATTTGAAATTTGTACATTTGTGGTTTTTATTTTGTTCATCTAAGTTTATACACTCCTTTTATGTTGTATGTAGAGTGTAGAGTGTGTTGCATAGATTGCCATTTTTATTTTCCCACATGCTCAGAGCTATTCAAGTGGAAAACTCATTAGTTTAGCCGACATGAGACATGAAAATTACCACGGCGATAAAAAGCGTCGCACAAAGGATAATGGTGTGCATGGTGTGTCTTTCTCCTACTATGCCTCTTCCTTCGTCCACGCAGCAACCTTCAAGGGTCGGGGGTAAGTACCAGCCAATCTTATATTAAAAACATCAACGTTTCCACGTGCTGTCTTTTTTTGTGCTTGATTTTATTCTTTTTTCCGCTCGACATTATAGAGATGAATTTGTCGTTGGAGAAGTAATAAATATAATGTAAACGTTGTAAAAATTAAATTGCTTTTCTTTCGCCTGCGGTATTGTGCGCGAATATTTAAATAAAATATTCTCATTCGAAATAATTAAACTTTTTTTCTCTTGCGAGTGTTTAAGAATAAGTAGGTATAAAACGTATTTTAAGTGAAGCTTCGATTGTGCACTTCATTGGCTGGCTTCTTTCAATATCGTAAATGCTTGGAAATGAAGTGACTCGGATGAAATTGCCTCTTCATTCATTTCAACTTTATATTCTGCTTGCGTAGGTATAACTTTGTGTGCATAAAAAGTTGCATACATACTTTTATTAAACTTTTATTAAAAAATTAAATGTTTAATTAAATATTTACACAGACACACGAAATTTGATATTGCGGGTCAAAAAAGAGTCTATTATATTTGTAACTTTTATTTACTGTGTATGTTTGGTTGCATATGATGTTTTTTGAACGAAATTTAATTTCGCCGCGCCGCGTTTTAATAAAGTTTTAATAAATATGCAAAGGGCAATAAAATACATTCAACAGGTATGTTTTTCTAGTTTTACACCGCTGATATTGAAGAAATTAATCAAATAAATCAGATACGAACAGAAAGTGGGCGAAAACAGCAATAAGCCAGCGTAGGCAAAGGAAAATATCGTAAAATAAAAATATAGAGCCACGCGCGGTCGGAAAGAAAAATACAACTTGCCTGAGCATAGCGGAGCAGGAAAACGTCGACGAGGGAAATGGAATTGAATAAGGGGGCTTTGGGTAGGAAAAAATACACTTAAAAAAGCGCACTTTTCCAGCACTTTTCGATGTGTATTACGCGTTTTTGCGCTCGACGTCGACGTTTTTTTTTTCAATTTGAATACAGAATGTGGAATTTCAGGCAGGTAACATGCGTTTTACATGTTTTACTAAAAGGTAAATAAGTAAAAAGAACGATTTTTATAAATGGAGCGAAATATGAAAATAATTTTTATTAAAATCGTATTGTTTATGTTTAATTTAATTTTAAATAAAATAATATCCTATATATTTTTGATATTTTATTTCATATTTGTTGATGTGTGGATATGTTGTGGATATTAACGATTTCATTGGTTTGCAGGCATGCAGCCAATTTAATTTGCACGCATCTGTCATAACAACAACAATCAAAGTGAAAACAAACGGCATTGTCGTCGCACGCGTTGCATGCAGCCGTTTGGCGTATAAATTGCACTCTCGTGCTTGACGCAGATATATTCGAGTGCTACATGCTCTACTAAGCTATAGAGAGCAGATTGGAAAGGATATTTCCATCCTCATATCAATATAGAAATATGAATTCCACTCACGTTTCTGAAATTCCCGCGCAAACACTAAAATTTCCATTCATATTAATCATTAAAATTAATTTTAATTGTTTCACGGTTTTGACATTCAAAAAGTTGCACTTTAGTCACAGATTGGGCAAAACCGTGACTAAAGTACTTTATTCACGGGTTTTAGTCACGGGTGGGGCTAGCGCCTGTGCATTTACTTTTGGTGCAGAACAAGGTAATATGAAATGCGCATGCGCAGCTGCTGCTTGTGTGATTTCCAGAACGTGTGCGAACTCCCATGCATTTATAATCAGGCATTTCCTAGTAGTGTGCGAACAAAGTTTGAAATTTTAAAACAAAAAGTTTAAATTCAAAAATAAACATGGAAAAAAATAAAAAGAATAAAAAATAGCGTAAGCTTCACATCGCTAAACGTGACTAAATTGCCACTTAGCGCACTTGATGCTTAATATACCATTGTGTCTGAAATATAGTAATATTGTGTAATAATTTATTGTGAGCAATATAAAACTCATACTCAGCGAATATTTTAAGTTAAAGAAGCATGAAAGCAACATAAATATCAAATGCACGTCAAGATACCATCAAAGCAACGATGCACATAAATAAAATTGCAATATGTGCACGCACAAGAGTAGAAATTGAAACATCCATCGCTTTATTTCAACTTTCACGTATTTTTCCTTTCAATTGCCGTTTAATGCTTTTTGCTTAAATATTATTACATTGTTACACGATATTGAATTATCGGCGCTGGCAGCTTAACACTGGCGCAGTAATTGTGTGCCGTGGGCGGAGCGTTTATGCATTCAGGATTCAATCACTACAATCGCTCGGAAGTGATAAATGTTGTTGTTTTTAATTAAAAATTTCAATTACAACGTTGCATTTGCATATCGACGATCAAATGGTGTGGGATTTTATACAAAGAGTATAAAGGTATTGAGAGGTGTTGCTAAAACAAAGGATAAAAATAATTAATTATTGGAAATAGTTAATGTTACTGTATTAAATTGTTTAAATCAGTTGATTAAATGGACATGAATCGTACTGGGTTAATTATAATTACATCAAAAAGAAAAAAAAAACGGAGAAATTGTGTGCGTAAATATAGTAATACTACATCCCTACTAATATTATAAATGCAAAAGTCCTGATGTTTGTTACACTTTCACGCAAAAACTTCTTAACCGATCATCATGAAAATTTGTACACATATTCTTAGTGGTCCCCGAATGGTTATAGGCTACTTTTTATTTAATAAAAAAAAATATTTTTAAAATAAAATAAAGAAATTGTTTAGCCAATAATACCTCTGCATCTGGCTATTTGACTAATTTAACGCCATCTAGCATTCCAGCAATGAAGCTCAAACCTAAGTACTATAGTACCATCACACTGTATTATCACACTGTATTACCGACAGCTACGTCAACATCAAATCCAATTGACTACACTATGGAGACTGTACACTATACTTCCATAGACTATACTTTCAGCCATTTTAAACTTCCCGCGATTCTACTTCATTGTTACTTCTTCTGAAACTACAGACGCGTACGGAAGCAACTTCATTATTTTAGATATTTGCGAGCGAAGCCGCTAGTTATATATAAAATTCTACATAAAAACAAAGTTAGGTTAGTTACACCCCTTATAACTCAAGAACTACTAAATCGATTTTGATAATCTATGGTTTATTTGATTTGTCTTAGCCTAAAATAGAAGAATAACAATTAAAATAATAACAATTATACTATACAGGGTGATAAGACATCAAAATTATACCTAAATCATTAAATTTTATATATCTGTAATTGAAATTGCAGTTTCTGTCACATATACACAGTGACGACATACTTCTTGTGAAGTTGTGATAGATGTACTATTGCTTAATTAAACCTGTGACCTGCGAACGCATTTAGGGCCCGAAAGGGACGCGCGTCTGCGGCTAGTACATCTTAATTTATCACTCCACCTTTACCTCAATATGTCCAATCAACTGCATCCTCAAACATACCGATCCACCGTAAGGCACGAGCATGTTACGTCAAGTACATGTACGAGTAATGTCAACAGCAACATTTTAATGAATTACTATATACAGGATCATCCATATCAAACAATTTAACAAAAGTTTAGTGAATTTATTACTTTCTTTGGTGAATACGTAATCCATGTTATTTTTTATAAATATAAAAATATTTATTGATTAAAATTACAACGTGATTTTTTGGATTTTACAGTTCTACCAGCAGAAGAACAAGAAGAAACACGACACAACACAGTAAGAATAATTAACAAAATAATACACAAACACAAAAATAACAACAAAAATAAAAATAAAACACAACATATTAATAAAACAATCAACAGAATTAAACAAAAACTAATCAAAAATAACGCAATTATAACAATAGCAGACAAAACCAAAAACTTTGTAATTATTAACCAAGACGAATACATACATAAAACAGATACATTCTTAAATCAAAACAATTACAACATACTAAACAAAGACCCAACCAACAAATATAACAAAATAATTAAAGGAATAATAAATAGCAATCCAGAAATTAACAAAAACAACAAACATAAATACTACATACAAAATCCACAACCACCGAAATTAAACGCACTACCAAAAATACACAAACCGACAATACCAATTAGACCATTAATAAATTTCAAAAGCGCACCAGCATATAAAATCTCTAAACTTATATTACGACAATTAGAAGCAATAATCAACCTCCCAAACAAATACAACATCAGCAACACAACAGAACTAATAAACAAAATAAAAAACATACCAATCAATAACAACACAAAACTATACTCATTTGACATAACCAACCTATACACAAATATACCCACAACTGAAACAATAAACATAATACAACAAAAAATGATAGAATCAAACACAGATACAACACACATAAAATACTATACAAACGCATTAACACAAATACTAAAACAAAACTAT